AACTAGAGAAGTTTTGTGGCATGTACTCAATAGTAGCTAAGTTGAAATAACTTAAAAATGTCCATGCAAATTGTTACATCAATTTTTTACGTTGAGCCAGCACATCATTTGTTAGAGTGTAGTTGACTTGATTGACTGGATGCCAATGGCAATCTCTTAGATTATCAACAATTTTGCACTAAACATAAATTCAACCCTTCCAAATCAGACTTTATTAAATTACAAAAAGCACTTCCTCATGGATTTATATTTCTAACAAAAAATATATTGGCCCACCAACCTATAATACCACAACTGGGCCCATTGTCAATACAGGGGATTTTAATCATGGACAAAAAATGTAACAATCATTTTATAAGAAACTGCCTCACTGAAACATTGTTCCCCCGTAGACAAAACAAAAATAATATCCTACATACATTTGATAATAAATCAATTGATAAACAAAGAACAATGTGCCTAAAATTTCCGATACCCCCCAAAACCAAAGAAACACACTTTAAAATGATAACAACATTTATCCTTCTAAAGAATTACTTAGACTACGCTTTAATATCGCTGACAGTTTATGCACATTCTGTGAAAATGACATTGAAACCGCGGACCATATCTTCTTCTCATGTGATATAATACAAACATTCTGGGTTAACATTCACAATTGGATCAAACTAAAATAGTTTTATTTCCAGCTGCTATCTCTAGAGATGATGTCACTTTCAGTATGATCTTGCAAAACAAAAATGATGAACTCTGTTGCAATGTTATCCTTTGTCTAGCCAAATTTTTCATCCACAAGAATAGAGTTATGAAGTCATCACCCAAATTTATTGTCTTCATGAATGAATTTAAATTGTACATGAAATCTTTAAAACTTCTAACAGAACTGAAGGCACAAAAATTATATGATAACTTAAAGAACTTTCAAACTGAAATGGATAGTTAAAATTGATTTGAATCCCCCTTATGAAAGCAATGTTTATTCTATTTTATATATATTTTATTTTTGACTATTTATTTTGAGATGTTTGCTCCGAATTTATTGTATTGAAGCACTAACATGCCTGTTGTTATTGTGAGTTGGCTTGCACTAATGTTGGATGATGTTCACCGGGCATTCTCTTTACAAAGTGAAGTGTATGTACTATGAAAAGTGCCAGAATTGTTTATTGTTTATTTCTTTGTACTTTTTCAATAAAGCTTAAAAAAAAAAAAAAAAAAAAAAAAGTTTTGCCTTTTCAGGCTGCGAGTCTCCAGTAATGAACATTATATTCATGTGTTCATTATTTTAAATAAATGTGATATTTATAAAAGGAAGTTTATGTTCAGATTCAGTCAGTGCTCATATAAGATAATATAAACTAACAGCATAAATACACAGGGTCAACCACATAGACTTAAACTATATACTGTATTTACAGCATATACATTATATATACATATACAGTATATACATTATATGACAGTATATACTGTATATGTATGTATATACAGTGTGGGTAAATGCGTTTGAATGATTGTATTTATGTTTTAAAAAAGAAAACTTTTTTTTAAAGTTTTATGTTTTTTAATTTAAGATGAGATGTTCCTTTATTGATCCCTGTGGGAGAAATTCGAGTTTGACCCAGCAGTGTAAATGGAACCGTGGACATTCAGCACCACGCCACGGACACACTGTTTGACGCAAGGTAAATATTTGATTAACTTTTGATCACCAATGTGTCTAGATTGCAGTGACTGAATTGTTCAAATAAAACACAAAAAAAACACCACAGAAAATCACTGTGAAATTTAACATGGCCAAATTTGACAGCACGCCACGGCACGCCGTTCAATGCACAGTCACAAATAGCACAACGATTAATTCCCTAGGAGGAGTTCATTCAAATACAAGACAAAAAATTCACCGAAAAAAAATCAAAAATGGCCAACTTGGTGTGGCGCGGCTGCGGCGGGCGTCCGCCGTGCAGGCCCATCATGGGTTGATGGCGAGGTCCCGCCCAACGCTGCTTGCAGCTTTAATTATTACTACAGTTACTATTATTACTATAATCACTGCTCATTGTCCCCCATCATCGTCATCGTCATCATTTTCATCATCATCAGTCACTACTATTAGTGCAGTCAGGGTGCGAACTACGGGGGAGCCAGGGGGGTCTCAGCCCCCGTTAATGAGACATGAGCTCCCCTGAAAACATAATTTGTGAAATTTTGGGGGGGTCTCTAAAATATTGGCAAAATGCTGTTTTTTCCCATGCATTTCCTTTTTGTTTTGTTTTTTGTTTTTTTGTATTGTCATAATCATGGATCATGTGTAAAATTAGGCCATTTTTAATGTATGATTTCCGCATTTCACATCACTATTTCACTTTAATAAAGATACCGGCCTGCATGCAATTCCTGTCCTCACCATTGAAGCGTGGGGGCGCTATGTCTTAAACGTCACTTTAAATCAGACACGGGAAACAAAAAAAAGCTCTGGATCATTTGCGCTGGACCCGCTGGAGCCGCTCAATTTCAGTGCTGAATTGTATTTACTGCCATGTTTTGCAGTCATCATGTCTAAAAGGATGGATGTGACATGTGCTTATATGTGCTGACATAAGGCAAGTAGGCGTACAGGCTTTTAATAATGGATGTGTTTTGAGTAAGTCCTTGCTCTGAGGCAAGCGCAAGCCCCTGTCCCCCAATATAAGTGAGCTCCCCCCGAAAGCCGCGGTATAGTTCGAGCACTGAGTGTAGTTGTTGCTACTGTTGTTGCTGTGCACTTGTCTGTCTGTCTGTCTGTCTGTCTGTCTGTCTGTCTGTCTGTCTCTCTCTCTGTCTCTCTCTCCCACCCACCTAGAGCCGAAGGATCTGTCCTAGGTTTCTGCCTTTTAACAGGCAATTTTTCCTTGCCCTTGTCTCCAAGGTCTTGCTCATGGTGGTACTGTTGGGTCTCTGTAATTAATGTTAAAGAGTTCGGTCTAGACCTGCTCTATTTGAAAAGTGTCCTGAGATAACTTCTGTTATGAATTGGCGCTATACAAATTAAACTGAATTGAATTAAAGAAAAATCAGTAAGACACAGGGATACATAGAAAATAAAAAAGTTATTTAACAAACTAATTGTGTTAAAACACTTTGTTCCAGACTCAAAATATATATATCATCAGTTTTAAAAACACTGTTGTGCAGATGTTTTTGTCATTGACCCACATACACACATTCTCAGACACACAAAGTCACACACATTCCTTCATTATGCATGGGTGTGTGTTTATGTATGTATGAGTGTATATACGTACGTTGTTGTCCATGGTGTCAAACTATGTACTGAGCAGTACACACCATTTTACCTTTTATTCTTTACACTGTGTTCCAAATTATTATGCATATACTGTTTTTGTTCTTTTTCTTACTAAATAGTCGATATAATTGTCAATAGGATTTTTTATTCCTCAACAATTATATCGTAATCTAGATTTTATTAAACACAATTACCAATGATGACAATGGTATTTTTTTGCTAAATAACTCAAAATGCAGTGTTCCAAATTATTATGCAAAACAGAGTTTCAATTCACTAAATAGTTTCTAAAGGATTGAAAACAGAAATCTGTTGTATGTTTTGCATTAGAGGATGATTTTTCTCAAATCAAAGCTATTTAAATCAAAAACATCCTTAAAGATGGAGTTATATATTAACATAGGAGCCCTTCTTTGATACCACATTAACAACTCTATCATCCATTGAACCTGTAAGTCCATGTACAGTTTCTGCCTGTATTTCCTTTGAGGATTCCAGAGTTTCATCCCAGAGCTGCTGTTTGAGGTAAACTGCCCCCTGCCCTCATAGAGCTTCCTTTTAAGGATGCTCCACAGGTTCTCAGTAGGGTTGAGGTCAGGAGATGATGGTGGCCACACCGTGATTCTTTCTCCCTTAATGCCCATAGCAGCCTAGGCCTCAATGGTATTTGTTGCAGCATTTTTCTTTTTATAACATGGCAGGAAATGGGCAGTTAGGAACTCCACATATTTTGCAGAGGTAATTTTGACACCTTCAGGCACCTTAACGGGGCTACCAACTTCCCATGATTCCAGCCCAAAACGTCCTCCACCACCTCCTTGCTGACGTCGCAGCCTTGTTGGGACATGGTGGCCTTCCAGAACTCCATCCATCTGGACCATCCAGTGTAGAACTCCATCCATCTGGACCATCCAGTGTAGCACAACATTCATCAGTGAATAAAACTGTTAGACAATTAGTCTTCATGTATTTCTGAGCCCACTGCAATCATGTCTCCTTGTGGGCATTGTTTAAGGGTGGTTGAAATACAGCTTTATGCACATCAGCAAGCCTCTGGAGGATCCTGCATCGAGAGGATCTTGGGACTCCAGAGGCACCAGCAGCTTCAAATACCTGTTTACTATCATCAGTGGCTTTTTCACAGCTGCTCACTTAATACGATGAATTAGCCTGACAGAAGCTTTCCTTAACACGTCTTTATCCGAACGAAGCGTCTGCGCTCTGAATCAGACACAAATCTTTTCATAGGAAGATGATCTTTCTTAATATTTGGTCAGATATCCAGTGGTTTCATACGATAAGATACTGCACTATTTCACACTTTTCATTTGCAGAAAGATATTTTTTCCCCCTATATTGCATGAAACCTGTGACTTGCCTAATAATGTGGAACAACATCCTTAAGTAGTTTCTCATTAATTAGGCTCACCTGGCAAACTAATAAAGACAAACCTGTCTGAGATTGATGTCAGTGATCTAAACAGACATGGGAAGCAGCACAATTGAAAATTTTCATTGAAAAACCAAAAAAATGTAATGTTTTTTAATTGAAATCATATTTGCATAATAATTTGGAACACAGTGTACTTATCAGTCTGAGTTTTTGACAGAACTAGAATGTTTATAGTAAATTTACAGTGTTATAACCCTGACTCTTTTCTATCCATTCATATACAGACATGTGCTGGAAATAACAAAAAACAATGCAAAAAAACAATGTCTCAGCCTTTAATGATCAATGACATTAATGATAACCAGTATGAAATCATATTTCTACAAAATTTTTGTGTGAAAGAAATAAAAAGAAAATCTAAAACATCTTCATAACTTGTCGCGTTTAAAATCAAGGCCATGCAGCACATTCAACAGAGAGGAAAAACAGACAGTTTGTGAATGTGCATGTGTTGTTTGTCAGCAGAGACTCTTCCTCCTACAGTGAACACAGAGACACTGAGGATCCATATGAGAATATCCCAAACCCAAACCCAGGATAAAGAGGTTCAGTGAATGTGGTGTTGAAGGTGTGGAGGTGGATCAGTGTGTCAGACAAGACTCTGTAGAAGGACAGAGTGCCAGCAGGACAGTCCACATACACTGCTACTCTGTTACAGACAGAGGAAGAGGAGGAGGAGGAGGAGGAGGAGGAGGAGGAGGAGGAGGAGGAGGCAGGGATGTCTGTCTTTGTCCTATTATGCCTGACATAGTAACAACCAACATCAGAGCAGAGCAGACTCCAGGACTGATTATTCCGTCCAAACCAGCAGTCAGCACTGTTTGCTTTCCTTCTGATTCCTCTGTAACTCACTGATACGTGAACTCTTCCTCTCCACTCGACCTCCCAGTAACAGCGACCAGTGAGACAATTTCTACACAGCAGCTGAAACCAATAGTCAAATCTCTCTGGATGATCAGGATATGGCTGCTCCTCTTTCACTATTGTCACCTTCCTGTTGTTGTCAGACAGTTTGATGTTTCTGTTCACTGTGTTTGTGTCCACTGTGAGTTCACAGGAATCTGATGGAGAGAACAAGACTCAATACAGCAGCAGTTTATCATCTAACACAGCTGATGGCTTTATTTGTTGCTTTATTAACAGACTGACTGTTAATTAGATCAAAACTTCACAATGACTCATCTGTTTGGATCTTCTTTCAAACTGACAGTTGAATGCAGATACACAAGCTTTTGATTTAAACTACTTTAACATGTTTTCAGGAATCAAAGTGAACACACACTTACACTTCCTCAGACCAGGTTTCAGCCTCTGCTCTCCACCGTGTTCCACCCTGGAGGAAGAAACAGAGTCAGAATGAACCTTCAGAAGCTTCCTCATCAATGATCTCCATAAACCCTGACATTCTTGAGTGCATTGCCTGACCATTTGGCCTTAACTGCCCAGCTGCACAGAAACTCTGTTACCCAGCACCATAGATATTCAGCTGTCCAGTATTCTAGCCTAAAAATGCCCAGAGCCTCAAAACTACCACCAGTCCTGTTTGGTCCCCGGTTGGTAGCATGGCCAACTCGATAAGATAAAATATGATAAAGATTGAACATTATTAAGGTGGCATGGTCATTGTGAGCATGTTAGCATATTAATGTTGGCATTTAGATCAAAGCATTGCTGTACATAACTACAGCCTCACAGAGCAAGAGTCAGTTTTTTATTCTTGTTATTGGCTGTTTTTTGTTTTTATGCTGTCCACTTCATTTATATGAGTAAAGGTAAAAGTAATGCAGTTAAATGGCAGCAAGAAACACATCAATACTCAATATAAACTGCACACACATCTTATTGCAGGCCTGCTGGGTTAGCTAGCTGGACTAAAACAGGTAACTGAGTGCGTCGTCTAGTTCAGCTAACAATTCCCCATGGAGAAACCTTGTAAAATCTGGGACACTGTGTACGTGTATTGGCTTGGACTTGTTGGTATTTGCACTTGAACTTGGGTCGGACTTGACCTTTGGTCTAGCCCAATATTGTACTTAGCCACAACCAACTCCAGCAATATATGTTTTTTTTTCTGAAGCAATTTCCGACTGCAACATCTTCCAAACACAACTACTGATGGAGCGTGCTTGTTCAGAAAACAACAGTCATATGCCTGGTTGCCAAAACCCATCTCATTGGCAATGATAAAACTCTTGAATGAAAAAAAAAAACTTGAACCGTTTTGGACTCTGTCTTAACTCAGTCTTGCCTAGTTCTGGTCTTGGATTCAACAAATTTACTACTACAGGACCGCTGCTAATGAGCTGTAGAGTTTTTTTTTACAAAGACCAATGTAAAGTTCAATACAGTTGTCCAACCTTGTAGACCTTGTACTGTTTTGGACATAAATTATATGGTTCTTGTTGTATTTGTGAGGTGTTAATAGGAACAACTGATGTCATTTGAAAGACAGTTTTCCAAGTTCTCTTTTACTGTGAAACTATCCCGTATGTTGTACTTGTTGTACAATCACCAGTGAATATTGATCTGGTATTAGACCAGTTAGGAGGTCAGTCTCAGTGGGGACAGGGACTCTCAGCACATCAATTGCTGTCTATCAGCAGTGCTGCTGGTTCAGACTGTGATTCAACAGTCTGGTTGTCTGTTCATACCTGAGAGTGTCCAGTCTCCAGTGTGGATCGTCCAGTCCAGCAGTCAGCAGCTTCACTCCTGAGTCTCCTGGATGGTTGTAGCTCAGGTCCAGCTCTCTCAGATGGGAGGGGTTGGATCTCAGAGCTGAGGCCAGAGAAGTACAGCCTTCCTCTGAGGTCATACAGCCTGACAGTCTGGAGACACATATTATACACAGACACACAAACATCATTTGTTGTGTGTCACTAGGTGTCCATTTTCTTTAATAATGAGAAGTCATGTTAAAGTTCCTCATTATGCCTGTGTGAATTACACCAGAATACATCATCAACTGAATGAATTTGCCTGAGAATTAAAGAGAAAAGCTATATTTTCTATTTTTTTCAAAAACTGGCAATTATGGAAATCTTGCAGAGAGTTGTTACCTCAGTGTTTCTCCTTATACTCTACACAGTAAAATCCTTCTGACCTTGGTTATCATCATTGACAGTATGTCCAGCAACATTTAAATGGCTGAACGATCTGCACCCTGACCTGAGTGTCTCCAGTGTACAGTGTGGACTCTCGAGTCCAGTAGAGAGCAGCTTCACTCCTGAATCCTGCAGGTTGTTGTTACTCAGGTCCAGCTCTCTCAGACTAGAGGACTGGGAGCTGAGAACTGAGGACAGAGCTTCACAGCTTCTCTCTGACAGATTACAGCTACTCAGCCTGAAGGAGAGTTAGAGATAAAGACAAACACTGACATGTTTTCAATATTGCAATTTTAACAGTAATCATAGTTAGTTATTTTGCATAGAAGGAATAAAAAAATAACTTTTTTTCCTTCCTACAAATATAGATTGTGAATTCTAAAACACTGCGAATTGGATGAGAACTCCATCACCAGCTGTTTCATTTTAAAACAGGAACCATGTAAAATGGGGGGAAACACAGCACTACACAAAAGTTTTACAGTGTGAGCTGACCTGAGAGTCTCCAGTGTACAATTTGAACTCTTCAGTCCAGCAGAGAGTAGCTTCCCTCCTGAATCCTGCAGGTTGTTGTTACTCAGGTCCAGCTCTCTCAGACTAGAGGACTGGGAGCTGAGAACTGCTGAGAACTCATCACAGCATTTCACTGTGAAGCTGGATTGATTCAACCTGATAATAATCAATATAAAAAGAAAAATCTTTAATGTTCGGTCAGTCATTGTTTGTCAGTTCTGTAGAAACAGGGCAGAGGTCTGTGCTAAGTAACAATAACAAGATTATTGATATTAACATTATTTCATATGTTCTTGTGAAGTCCAATAATTTGACACTAATTGTCTTTCAGAAACAGTGTCTGTTTGACAATAAAGTTAGTAAAGTAGTGTTGCAGGGTAATCTTACCTGAGAATTTCCAGTACACAGTGGGGACTCTCCAGTCCAACAGAGAACAACTTCATTCCTGAATCCTGCAGATCATTGTTACTCAGGTCCAGCTCTCTCAGACTAGAGGACTGAGAGCTGAGAACTGAAGAGAAGTCCTGACAGCATTTCTCTGTGAGCCTGGTTTGATGCAACCTGATTTAAACCAAATAAAGCACATTTTCCTTTATATTTTGCTTTAAAATCCCAGATATGTTCAGTGTCAGTGGAAAGAGTTTACTATTTTCTGGATTGTTCTTATGGTAGAAAATGCAAACGTATCAATATTGACAACACAGTAGCAACCAAATGAGCATTTGTTTGTCATGTAGAGTTTGTCAGAAAAAAATCCACATTTTTTTCACCAATGGGAAACAGTTTTATACAAAAGCATCACAGTGTAATCTGACCTGAGAGTCTCCAGTGTACAGTGTGGACTCCCAAGTCCAGCAGAGAGCAGCTTCACTCCTGAATCTTGCAGGTTGTTGTTACTCAGGTCCAGCTCTCTCAGACAAAAGGATTGGGAGCTGAGAACTGAGGAGAACTCCTGGCAGCTTATCTTAGTGAGACTGGTTTCATTTAACCTGATAATAATAATAATAATAATAATAATAATAATAATAATAATAATAATAATAATGATACATTTTTCTCTTATGTTTCACTTCAGCATTATAAAACTATTTAATAAGCAGTTCCATATGATTCAAACTGAAAACAAACAGTATTGTTATTCAAACATGGTCAACATCTAAAGAGTAACTTAACACTTAATCCACTTTTTTGGGTATAGATGTTCAGAACAGAGTTACCTGCAGTATGTAGTTATGTTTTTTTGGATTCACAGTGGCCGTTAGATGTAAGATTGTGGAATTAAAACATCTGAAACACATTGGCTTAGACATGGCTAGAAGCCAAGAGAAGAGTTAGCTCACATAATGTACCTATTTCTTAAAGTCTGTGGGACCACTCTTTGCTAGCGTGCCTGTTCACACATTTACAGTTGTGACCAAAATTATTAGCCCCCCAGGAATTATGGAACATTTTCCTAAAATTCTTCCCAATGTTTGCAGCATTGATAAAACTCGATATAATCAAACATTCACCAGTGCTTTTTTTTTTGCTTTTGGTACATTTTGGAATATAAAATAACATTTTAGGCTTGCTTTATATCAAATATAGAGAAAAATGGGGATGTCAAAAATATTAGCCCCCATAATGGGGTGGTCAATAATATTTCCCCCCATGTGAATTTGTGCCTTCAAAAACACACCTAATTAACCAATCAGTTTTCAAACCACACCTGTGCAGTCAATTGGCTTCCTAACGACACCTGAACATTCAATCAGCATAAATCAGAATCAGAATCAGAAATACTTTAATAATCCCCGGGGGGAAATTACTTTTAGGAGGGGAGAAAAGGGGGAGAAACAAGAGGAGAGGGGAGGAGAAAAAAGCTGCTCCCAGACTATGCTCCTGTGGGGGAGTACAGTGTGCGACTGGGAAAAAACCTCAGCAACATAAGCACATATGAGCACACTTTGCAACATAAGAACTCAAAACAACTTGCACCGGGGGAGGAGGGAAAGGGGCTGGAGACGTACCAGCGCAGACAGGCAGCCACGGCACAGCCAGCTTCAGTGCAGCCAGCTTCAGTGCTGCCAGCTTCAGCGCAGCCAGCGGAACCCCGCTTGTCTCACTGGGGGTAAAAAGAGGCAAAGGTGTGGGATTGGGGGGGGGTACAGCGGTGTGTTGCATATGCGCCTGTGTAAGTGTCCATGGGTGCCATGCCAAAGACAAAGGAAATCAGTCTTGAGCTCAGAAAGAAGTGGAGGCTCATGATAAGGGGAAGGCTATACTGCCATTTCCAAGTGTTTCAGTGTCTAGAACCGCTGTACGTTGCATCATTGCCAAGCACAAGGAGACAAATTCTGTAAGAAACAAACCTGGGCGTGGTCGTAAGCTCAAGATTTCAAGAACTCTTGAGAGGAAAATTGTCAGAGATGTCAGCAAGAATCCCCGGACATCTGCCAAGATGATTGTTGCTGACCTGGCCTCTTCTGGAGTTGATGTTTCAAGGAGCACAGTTGTGAGGGCTCTCCATCGTGGTGGGCTTCAGGGCCATCGTCCAAGAAGAACCCCTTTACTCAAAGAGCGGCCCTTCAAAGCCAGACTGAGGTTTGCCCGTGAACATTTGAAAGGTAAAGATGAGTTTTGGAAGTCTGTGCTTTAGTCTGATGAGACTAAACTGGAATTGGATCTTGCTTATGTTTGGTGAAGAAAGGGAGAAGCCTTGAACCCTAAGAACACAGTTCCCACAGTTAAACATGGTGGTGGGAGCATCATGCTGTGGGGCTGTTTTGCAGCCTCAGGCACAGGGAGCCTTATTTGGGTGCATTGCATCATGAAAAAAGAAAATGATGTTGACATTTTGAGGGATAAAATGCAGAAATCTGCTCGTAGTCTATCCTTAGGTCATCACTGGGGCTTCCAACAAGGCAATGACCCTAAGCATACATCGAAATTGGTCCAACAGTTTCTGAAGGATACCAAAACCAAGGTCCTGGAGTGGCCTGCACAGAGCCCAGACCTCAATCCTATTGAGAATCTGTGGCGGATGCTCAAAGTGAATGTCCATGCTCGGAAACCACGCAATTTGGACCAGCTGGAACAATTTGCAATGAAAGAATGGGCCAAAATCCCTCAGGAGACCTGTGCCAACCTAGTAAAGAACTACTCTAAGAAGTTGTTGTCAGTTGTGGCTCAGAAAGGGTACACTATTGACTATTAATGGCCAGGGGGCTAATAATTTTGGATTTCTCATTTTTGCCCTTTTTTGTTTTAACTCACTGTATCAATAAAATATCCTAATCAAACTTGTCAACTTTTGTCTTTGTAGTGTATTTGTTTCCAAAATAACAAACACGTGTTGTTAATGGCCATTTCCATGGAGAAATCAAGAGTTTTGTCTAATTTCATAAGGGGGGCTAATAATTTTGGTCACAACTGTAAAAAGGTTGAGAACAGTCATAAAGCATTTCATGTTTGAAGTACAACACACAGGGGTTTCACAGTGTGATCTGACCTGAGAGTCTCCAGTCTACAGTGTGGATTCTTTAGTCCTTTAGAGAGCAGGTTCACTCCTGAATCCTGCAGGTTGTTGTCACTCAGGTCCAGCTCTCTCAGACTAGAGGACTGGGAGCTGAGAACTGCTGAGAACTCTTGACAGCATTTCTCTGTGAGCCTGGTTTGATTTAATCTGATTAAAAACAAAATAGAACATTTACTTTTATGTTTACTTTAATATGCCAAATATGTTCTGTGTCAGTAAATTATATATAGTATATATATAGTATATTTATCAAGTACATTTGTGGAATGTTCTTTTTATTTAAAATGCAGACATAATCATCAGAAACACAGTAGAGACCAAAGTAATACATGTCTGTCATATGCTTATTTGGTTACAGGTAAACAGTGTTACAAAAAAGTAATTAAACCTTAGTCTTTCCAGTCTACAGCTTGAATTCTTCAGTCCAGCAGAAAACAGATTAAGTCCTGAATCCTGCAGTTTGTTGTCACTCAGGTCCAGCTCCCTCAGACTAGAGGACTGGGAGCTGAGAACTGAGGACAGAGCTTCACAGCTTCTCTCTGACAGATTACAGCCACTCAGCCTGAAGAAGAGTTAGAGATAACGACAAACACTGTGACTATTTACTACTATAAAAAACATCATATTTCTATGATCGCCCTTATTATGTTGATGATTTGGACAATCAAATATTAGGGTCTAATAGCTAGTAACTGCAATTACTTATCTTAGTTAGTATCTGCAGATATCTGTGCACTTACAGAGCTTTGTTGGAGGCTTTGACCACTGGCAGCAGCCTCAGAAGAGCCTCCTCTGAAGCAGAGTATTTCTTCAGGTCAAACACATCCAGATCTGTTTCTGATGACAGTAAGATGAAGACCAGAGCTGACCACTGAGCAGGAGACAGTTCATCTGTGGAGAGACTTCCCGAACTCAGGTACTGTTGGATCTCCTCCACTAGAGAACGATCATTCAGTTCATTCAGACAGTGGAACAGATTGATGGTTCTCTCTGGAGACATATTCTTACTGATCTTCTTCTTGATGTACTTGACTGTTTTTTGATTGGTCTGTGAGCTTCTTGTTTCTTTCAGTAGGCCCTGAGGGAGTTTGGTCTGATTTGTTGGCAGAGAGAGACCCAGGAGGAAGCGGAGGAACAAGTCCAGGTATCCATTTGGACTCTCTAAGGCCTTGTCAACAGCAAACCTGTGGACTGCTGTCACTGATGTTTTGCTGAAAACCATTCGAACATGTTCGCCAACAGTTTGCGCTGGCTCAGACATCACATTCTTGTTTTTGTTGATGAGCGACATCTCCACATATAAAGCTGCCAAAAACTCCTGAACACTCAGATGGACGAAGCTAAACATCTTGTCTTCATCAGTCTTCTTCCCATGTTCCTCTTTAAAGATCTCTGTGAACACTCCTGAGCACACTGAGGCTCCACTGACATCAATGCCGCTCTCTTTCAGATCTTTCTCGTAGAAGATCAGGTTGCCCTTTTCCAGCTGGTGGAAAGCCAGTTCAGCTAATGACTTAATGTACTGAACACACTGTTCTTGGTCATACTTCTCTTTTGTCTGATGAATCTGAAACACCAGGAATTCTACATACATCTCAGTCAGGGTCTCGGGCAGCTCTCCTCCCTCTCTGGTCTTCAACACACCCTCCAGAACTATAGTAGTGATCCAGCAGAAGACTGGGATGTGGCACATGATGTGGAGGCTTCTTGATGTCTTGATATGGGAGATAATTCTGCTGGCCTGCTCCTCATCTGTGAACCTCTTCCTGAAGTACTCCTCCTTCTGTGGGTCAGTGAACCCTCTGACCTCTGTCACTATGTCAATAAAATCAGAATGGATCTGATTGGCTGCTGCAGGTCGTGTGGTTATCCAAAGGCGAGCAGAGGGAAGCAGATTACCTCTGATGAGGTTCTTCAGCAGCGTATCCACTGAGGTCGACTTTGTCACATCAAAGTCTGTGTTCTGGGTTTTACTGGTAGAGCAGTCCAGTTGAAGGCGGCTCTCATCCAGTCCATCCAAAACAAATAGAAGTTTGAATTTACTTCTGTCATAGTTGGTGTTTCCTGATGACTGCAAAGTTGTAAAGATGTGATTCAGAGCTTCTTCTGGGATGTCTTTGGTCTCCCTGATACTTTTATGAATGAGCTCTGCCAAACAGAACTTTTCTCCCTTCCATAAATTCATCTGGCGGAAGCTGAAGGGGAATATGAGATGCACATCTTGATTGGCTCTTCCTTCAGACCAGTCCAACACAAACTTGCCCACAAGAAACGTTTTGCCAATTCCTGCAAATCCCCTGGTCAGCACTGCTCTTATGGCTCTTGTTTTTCCAGAGGGGGGTTTGAATATGTCACTGGGTTTAATTGGTGTCTCTGTTTCTGATGACTTCCCCACTGCCTCAATCTGTCTGACCTCATGCTGTGTGTTGATGTGTATGTCACCTCCAGCTGTGATGTACAGTTCTGTGTAGATATCGACCAGAGGTTGCTCATCCTTCTTCTCCATCCACCCCTCTTGTGCACACATAAATTTATTCTGGAGGTTTGACTGAAGCAAGTGTTGGTAATATGAGATGGGGTGTGGCGTTGGTACTGGAATAATCTCATCTGTTTGACATAAATAGAAAAAACAACATCTAACTAAAGCGGCATGCAGCGATGAACATGCCCTCACAGTCAGGGAGTGCTGTGGTCACGTTATGTGCCAGCATATCATGTGCAGACCACCCCATGAAAATTACATGTAAATCAGATGCAGGTGGTGCTATGCCTATGACCAAATATTGGCATGAAGATGTATTCAAGCAGGGACTAAACCATATGAATATATTGGACCATGTACAGTCAAGTTAGAACAACTTCCTGTTTCATGGTGGTACATCAAAATGTGACACCACGCCATGGACACACCATTGAGCGAAAAAAAGTTTGAAGGGTCTTCTGACCAAATTTCAGCTGGATCTGGTCAATACAGTATGAGTTGTACATGACAGTATAAAAGATATAATTTCCTGCTGCCAGTAGGGGGCGCTATCACTATGACTGAATATTTGCATGTAGGTGTGCTCAGGCACCGACTCTTGAGTTTGGTGCAGATTGCATAATATATACGAAACGTCACATTTCTACACCAGGCCACGGGCTTGTGATCACTTTTCATTGTAAATGTATTTAGACTGCACTGACCAAATTTTAAGTCAATCTGTTCAATTCTCTAGAAAGAGTTTGTACAAGAACAAGGCATGTAAATCACCAAAAATGACCACTAAGTTCAAAATGGCGTAAACACAACAGTTCTTATTTTCAGGTGATTATACAGTAATAAAAACATACCTCGGAATATTATATTTAGTTTCTTACAATTAATCCTCCGAATTGTTGTACCAATGGAGCTTAAAGACTTTAAGACCTGCAGATACTCTACTGCTGCTTTGACTAAATCTCATCAAGTTCTCCTGTCTATACTTTCACTGTGTTATAATGGAGCTATAATACAGAATGTCAAATTTACTTACATTTAACCTTTTCAAACTTAAGAACTACTTGATCTTTTGGGGCTTCCATACATACCTGAGAATACAGAAGCTTTACTTTCACTCTGAGTGGAGGAAGGTACTCTGTTCTGTGACGTCTCTCCAACATCATTGACATTCACTGATCCTGAGAGAGAGAGAGAGAGAGAGAGAGAGAGAGAGAGAGAGAGAGAGAGAGAGATTATAAACGTTTGACTTCATCCACATTAAACTTAACCCTTAGATTAAAGTCACATGGAATCCCTGAAAAGTGTAAGCCTGCCACTGCTTTGGCAATAATGGCTTCACCGCATGTAGTAGTAGTAGTAGTAGTAGTAGTAGTAGTAGTAGTTGGTAATCAAAAATAGGGGAAACTCAAAATCATTCTTTTTTTTTTAACTGAATAGCTGTTCATTTGAAAAGGGTCCAACTACCTTCCGACATAGAGATATGAAAGAAATGGTGATTATAAATTAGGTAAAGTTAGATAGAATGATGCTCGTTACTCCAGGAAGTTGCTATGATGCAATCACAACAATTAATGGAAATTAAATTTATCCCTGTGAATTCTGCACAACCTTCTGTCCAATCACCACAAAGCTGACCAATCAGTGTAGTTTCCTGTGGCTTTCACCAGTCATAGCAGTCCCTCATGCAAAAAGCTGAGCCATACGTCACCAAACTAAACATTTCATTCTAACTTCTAAGTTGCCTTAGATTTGTATACAAAAAATTTTGCCCTGAAATCAGGCATTTAAGGTAGCAACAATCCCAAAGCCTGCAAAGTCTTGGAGCAGAGCCGGTCCACCCTATATGCACACTACATAGGGCCTTGCAAATTTGCAATAATGATTATCTTGTCTTTTAGTCAAAGTTCAGTTACAACTCTGAAGATGCAAGATGTTCCGCAATTGTCTGACATTGACTATTGATTAAATAGCCCATTGAATTTAAAATGTTGATTAGCTGGGTATTCTGTTTACATTGTATGGTCAAAGCTAATTGTATAACAATGTGTGAACTGGACCAGACAGTAGAACCAAATCTCAGTTTTTTGTTTCTATTATTTTGAACATTTAAATTTTCTACAATTTAAATTTTCACTTATATTAAGATGACGATTAAGTGCTCTGTCTTAGAGAGACTGTTTCACTAGCAAGGACCACACCATCAACAGTATATGCTTAAAGAATTTATTAACAGAACGAAAAATATGCATTATGCTGAATCTGTCTGATGCCATTGTGTTGTGAGGGAGCTTGTTTGTGGAATCCGCCGTTGTACCTGGGTACAACGGACCCCCAAAGCTTCCATTTACTTAAGATGAGTTTGAGATTTGAACGAATGTTACAGAAATAAGTTTTATTTGTATTACGTGCTCAGGGATGCCATTGCAGGTGGCCGAGGTGGTAGCTCTGATTCTGAAGGAGTAACCAAAATAACGTATGAAAGAAATGTTGGACTAGAACAGTATTTGATGTGGATGACCATTCCCCGATTCAGCAGCACGCTTACCACGTTAATCCAACAAAACGTGCACTTTTTCAGCAGGAGGACACCTACCTGCTGGTAAACAGCTTAGCTGTCTCAAGCTCCAGTGTGTGGAGTTCCCTGTGTCTTCTGGTGCCCAAAGCTGATAAAACAACACGTTTTTGCGCAGACACAAGTGAATGGTGTCACAAAAAGCGGATTCATATCCTCTAGTTCAAATGAAGGATTGTGTGGACAGGGTTTGTTCAGCACAATTTATCACCAAACTGGACTTATTAAAGGGCTATATGCAAGTCTCTTTAATTCCCCGTGCATCTGAAATCTCTGCTTTTGTTACGCCCGTCAATTTCCTTCAATATACAGTTATGCCATTTGGTCTCCAAAATGCACCCGCCATGTTCTAACGTCTCATGCACATAGTCCTAGCTGGTGTGAAAAATGGTGTAGTTTATCTTGATGACATAGTGGCCTACTCAACCACTTGGTCCGCACATACCAAAACCCCAAGGACAATTTTCGAGAGGTTAAAGAAAGCCTCTCTCACTTTTAACCTGGCCAAATCTGACTTTGGTAGAGTCACTGTGACCTATTTAGGATAACAGGTGTTCTAAGATCCTCTGAAATGCTACACACTGGACCTTTAAATCAGAGTCATCTCCATCCTCTCAAATAACAATGACTGATAACTTAAACCTTTACTCATAATATGAGATCAGGCCAGCATTTTTTTGGGGGGGGGTACATACAGTGAGCTTCTGTACTTTACAAGTATTGTGTTGTCAACCCACATGAACATATCAATGAAAGAAAACAGTGGGACTGACCTTCTGGTCCTGAGCTGGTGCCTGACAGACTCTGCACCAGATTGTTCCTGTTTATCTTCTCTAAAACCTTTCTGGTCACCATCAGAGCTCTGGGAAGTGTATAGTTGTTCACCATCAGATCCACTGTGTCCCGCCTTTCTGCTGTCTCTAGTTTGGACACTTTGATGGTTTGGTACCCTTCCAGGATGTCAGGATGCCGCAGATACCATTTGAAGTCCCTGAATTCATCGGCTGTTAAATCCTCCAGAGTCTTCAAAAGGTCCTCTGGTGTCATCGTGGCTTCCTGCAAAAATCCAATAGGGTTGTCAACCTGAAGGAAAACTGGAAAACAAATGTAAAATGTATCAGAGCAGCAGCAAGAGTTCTGATACAAGAGCTGTATGTTCAGTGGTGGAGCCAGATGTTCAGGGCTTAGCCCAAACCAGAGTCCGGGGCATGCTCCACCAGGGCAGCTAGATGCACTACTTTTCAAGCCATTTGAGATAATTTGGGAAACATATGATAGTTGCCCAGGAAAATAATCACCCTGTAGAGCCTTTAACATATTTTGTAACCAACTGCTTTTCAAATGTCGTAATTATTAAGAAACCATAACAAATGTTGACGATGACTCATTTTCTCTCCTGCTTTCTAAAAAGAGGCCAAGATTCTGAGAAAATGCTACTATTTTTATGTTACATCATATAGGTAAGGTAGGATGCAGTAGAGTTCACAGAATTAACGTTTAGCTTCTTAGGTGACAAAAGCTGAATGAAACACAAGACAACAAAAAAGCCCCAACTGCATCTGATGACATGAAAGGCTTAAAGTAGACCATAAGCTTCACATCACATGACAAATCTATCTGCAAAGTATCCTAGATAATGACACAAGACTCTTACCGGTCTCTGAAGGTTTGAAGAATATCAGAAGGTGCCGAACACAAGTCAATCTGCTGCATTTAAGTCAAGTAAGTTTTAATGAAACGAAGAATGAGGAAGTACACAACAGACCGTTAATATAGTGAAGTGAAATTCCAACTTCCGCCTTTTCAGGTTCCTCTTTTTAATGTGAGTTCCTGTAAATATCCATCTTACATTGCCCGCTGTTACATCAACACAGCATCGACTATCAGCCATTACATTATGACCACATGGGCACCCTTGTGGTCATAATGTTCTGCAGCCCCATACCAGCAGACTGCTCTGCACTGTGTTCTGACCCCTTTCTATCAGAACCAGCATTAACTGTTTCAGCAGTTTGATGACCCTGTCTCGGGTTCTGTTCCTTCCTTGGACCCCTTTTGATAGGTACAGACCTCTGCAGACTGGGAACACACCACAAGAGCTGCAGGTTTGGAGATGTTCTGACCCAGTCGTCCATCACAATGTGGCCCTTGTCAAAGTCACTCAAATCCTCACACTGCCCATTGTTCCTGCTTCTAACACATCAACTCTGAGGACGAAATGTTCACTTGCTGCCTGATATATCCCCCCACTGACAGGAGCCATGATAACCAGATAATCAGTTTTATTCACTGTCAGTGCTCAAAGTGTTAGGGTTGATTGGATGCCCTGGTCTACAAATATTCTCCAGATGTAAGAATACATGTTTGTTTGGTACATACCACTAAAAAAAACTTTTTCAGTGAAAATTTAATTTATGATGTAAAAATGATCATTCCCACATTATCGCAAATCATATCACAATATCTGTGAAGCCCTAGCATCACCTGAAACAGTGTTAACAGTCAGATCTGTTATATGTTCCCATTTTTATGAAAAAGGAATGGACCATGTAGACAGTAAACTAGTTTACAGTGAAGACACCAAAAAAAAAAAAAGCCCACAAGAACCCACCTGAACTTAAATAATTTAACCCAACCTTAAAAACTAAAGCTAATTGACCAAGTGTGGTTAGAACATGTTAAGCAGCGCAGGAAGAGTTTTTTCCATAATGGCTTGAGCTCCATATTTGTCCCCCAGAAGGAGGAAATATGTACAATGCATTGAATAATGTATTGTTTGATTGTAAAACTGCTCTCTGCCTGAAATCCAGCATGGTGCGTGAGAACTTTAAGCCCTGAATTAAATTGTACATGTATAAAGCACAGAAGCTGAAGGGCTACCTGTGTGAATGTTATGCTACTGTGTTAGAATGATTTCATGTAACAAAAACTCACCACAATCATGAAATATCATCAACAACATGTTTTGCATTTTCTGACTAGATTTCAGCTTGATCTGGTCATCCTACTAGGAGTAGAACATGAAAGTATAAAAAATGACATTTCCTTTCACCACTAGATGGCGCTCTCACTATTACTGAATATTATCACATAGACGTGTTCAGGGCGGGACTCTTATCAAACATGTGAAGTTTTGTTGAGATCAGATCATGTATGCAGACGTTATGACAAATCCCTCTTTCATGGCGAATCGTTATAATTCCACGCCACGGGACGGGCAAGCTGTTCAACGGAATAACGTAAATAGCACAACTTTTAATGGTGAATGTGTTTAGATGGCTGTGTCCAAATCTGAAGTCGATCCAATCAATTCCCTAGGAGGAGTTGGTTCAAATACGTGTGCAAATCGCAAAAAATTGCCACAAAATCCAAAATGGCTGACTTCCTGTTGGGTTTGAGGTATGGGTCCTGCTTCTTTTATCATGATACACAGGCGTACCAGTTTTTGTACATGTGGGCCTTGCATGTCTTAGGGGCTGATTCTGGGGGATGCGGCTTAGCCATTTGGCAGCGCCCGTGCACGGGGACAATTGCATACCGGTATGTTCGCTACGTTTGAATTTTGTGCAATTTTCCATGACTTTTCGAGCATGTTGCGGCCGCCAAATATGATGTCGAAGGGGCACAAAATAATAATTCTTAGTGGAACAATAGGGACCTTGCACTTGTCAGTGCTGATATGCAATGCTAACCCAACTTTTAACTTTACTTGCTAGCTTTGAAAAGCTATTCCCACAAGACGTAGTGAGGTAGCTCCTCCTTAAACATGCAATAGGCATCTCTACCTAATAATAGAACTTAGAAGAGGGCAGTTGAATGTTTTTTCCTCCCAAGAGGGCACTTTAGCACACGTTTTGGCTCCCAAGAGGACACTTAGCGAGTTTTGGCTCCCAAGAGCACTTTAGCACGCATTTTTCAACAATTGGGCCACGAGGGGGGGTGCCCCCCCCTTTGCACGCCACTGCTGTGGATTAACCGTTTGACCAATCTGAACAACATTTGAGATGTGAGATAAAGTGTCCAAAGTCTGTCTGTGTCCGTCTGTCAGCGGAGAGTTGGAGACCTCTGCCGAAATTTACAGACCTGTAACTCAACATTCTTCCATATCCACATTCTTCATATATGTTTACAATCTATCTGAATCGAAGGTCTTTTTAGAAGGTGTAATGCTGGACAGATTAAGAGGCTCCTGGAGGCAAACTAGTGGTTGTGATATTCAGTTAAATTGATCAAATTGACTGACTTGAAAAAGCAGAAACAGGGCTCTGGGATAGCTCACAGCTCACTGACTGATTTACTACACTACACATCCTGTTTACATCACCCAGTGAATGATGGGAAGTGTAGTTCTAAGAACACTGAACTTATTATTCATCCATGATTGAAAGAAGATTAAAGAAAACCAACAGAAACAAAGAGAAGCGACAAAATCCATGAAAATGACCTTTATATGTTTTACAATATCTCATCATCATGGTTCTTTCATCACACTGACACTCACCTCTGTTCATTCATATACAGACATTTACTGTGGAAATAACTCACATTACGCATATTTACACCTTCCAATGATCAATGACAAATAAACTATTAAAAAAAAAAGTCTGATTTAGATTCATTTATCATATTTACATGATTATTTAGAGGAGAAAAACATCTTAAGTACAGAACACCTAAAACTAAAACTTTAACATTTTCCCCAAAACCTTTCCAAAAACATATTTAAAGATATTTAAATACCTGTTCTTGTGATTTTGAGTCAGTGTGTTTTGGGTGTTTTTGTCAGCAGTGTGTTTCTCTCTTCTCCCTCCTACGGTGAACACAGAGACACTGAGGAACCATGTGTTAATAACATAAACCCAGGATAAAGAGGTTCAGTGAATGTGGTGTTGAAGGTGTGGAGGTGGATCAGTGTGTCAGAGGAGACTCTGTAGAAGGACAGAGTGCCAGCAGGACAGTCCACATACGCTGCTACTCTGTTAGAGACAGAGGAGGAGGAGGAGATGGATGTTCTTCTGTTATTGTGCCAGACAGAGTAACCAACATCATCAGAGCACCCCAGACTCCAGGACTGTTTCTTTCGTCCAAACCTGCTGTCATCACTGTTTCCTTTCCTTGTGATTCGTCTGTAACTCACTGATATATGAACCCATCCTCTCCTCTCGACCTCCCAGTAACAGCGACCAGTCAGACCATTTCTACACAACAGCTGAAACCAGTAGTCAAATCTCTCTGGATGATCAGGATATGGCTGCTCCTCTCTCACTGATGTCACCTTCCTGTTGTTGTCAGACAGTTTGAGGTTTCTGTTCACTGTGTTTGTGTCCACTGTGAGTTCACAGGAATCTGATGGAGAGAACAAGACTCAATACAGCAGCAGTTTATCATCTAACACAGCTGATGGCTTTATTTGTTGCTTTATTAACAGACTGACTGTTAATTAGATCAAAACTTCACAATGACTCATCTGTTTGGATCTTCTTTCAAACTGATAGTTGAATGCAGATACACAAGCTTTTGATTGAAACTACTTTAACATGTTTTCATGAATTAAAGTGAACACACACTTACACTTCCTCAGACCAGGTTTCAGCCTCTGCTCTCCACCGTGTTCCACCCTGGAGGAAGAAACAAAGTCACAGTGAACCTTCAGAGGGTTCCTTATCAATGATCTCCATAAACTTTCACTCAGGTCCAACATTAAGACAAAGAGCTGCATTCATAAAACATATTTCATACACAGATTCAACTTTACATTAAATATTTAGAAGAAAACAGCAAAATAATAAAAAGACAGACAAACGGGAAACATTAAAACAATTAAGACAAAAAATACTAAAAGGTAAAAATACAATTTATACTGTAGATCTAAAAACTCAGTCAGTGAATGAGAATGAGCTGTGAAATTTGTAGGAGAAACTACTGTGGTCACAAAACTCGCAAAAACTGGGAAAGCCCCATCGAGAGCCAGTATTTGGTTTGTCCGTTCTGGGATACTGTAGAAACATGGTGGTTCAATATGGTGGACTCAGCTCATTCTAAGGTAACAAAAACACAATTCTTATTTTCAACTGATTACACATTAATGAAAACATATCTATGAATATTATATTTATTTTCTGACCATAGATCCTCCTCAGTGTTACACACTGGACCTTTAGTGTTTGTCATCTTGGTCCTAAAACCATGTTGATTTCAGAGTTCATTTCTGTAAGCTGACAGAAGCCTGAACAGCTGCAAACATCAGGGCTTTATATAGAAAATCCCTGATGGATGTAAGGGTGCTCCGATCAGGGTTTTTGAGGCCAATAACTGATCACCGTGTTTATTTGAAGCCTGTAGTGTAGCACATCTTTACTGTAATTAATAATTGGTGATTAACTAAAAAGGTGGAATATCAGAAGACTAAATTAGAATTCGGAGGAATAATTACACAGTATTAAATGAAAACTAATTTTAGAATTTTTTAGAAATGAATTAGAAATAAGAAAACCTGGCCATACAAATTTTTGTTTTACTCTTTCAATCTTCCATGAATATCTTTTTTTAAAAGGCTCTTTATCAATTCGATCTGATCTCCAGAGAACTAGAGACAGATTAAGTATCAGTATTACATTTTTATCTCAACCACATGAGTGAAAGTAATAACCAAAATATACCAGTTTTCCAACAACTAAAGACACACATAATCAGCACTCATCCACAGAACTACAGCACCAGGGAAATTGTCCAAGGGATGAATTTATAGGGGAATGGGAATGTGCTGGTTGAGCAAGTAAACTGGTGACATGTGATCATTATGAGTCTCTTGTTGCAGATAGCCTACCACACTGGCAGGGATGTGATGACTGAACAGGGAAAATCTAAGAGTTCCAAGAAAAGCTGAATCCTGGTTCTTTGGTTTGATTAGCTTACCATCCTTTCATCTCTCAAAACCTGGCCATATCCAAAAAGTTCTTATTAAAAACATTTCATGGACGAAGTCCGCTGGACGGATTATCTGCAGTAGCTCCTCACTCTACAGCGTTCCCAGGCATTACTAATACAACCTTTTTCCAAGGTCAAGAATAAACTCTGAACCGCTTGATAAGCTTGTCTTCTGGTTTATAAGGTCAAAAAGAATGTGTCATAATCGTCAATAAGTGATCAACACCAAGGGCCTTGTATAAAAGATGCATACGCTGGTTTTCATGCACATGTGGGCTGTTAAAATTTATGTGATGTAAGAATGTGCGTGCCGTGCCACAAACTCTTGTCTGGCTCTGTAATTTGGCAATTTAAAACGTCAGTGCACTGAAACTCACTGAAACAGATGTTTCTATATAAAGTTTCCCACATGATTATGTCCACTGATACACCATGATAGTTTGAACATTTCTGTCGATAATGTTTAACATCAGAAAGACCAATATGAAGAAAATTTAATTTTCCCACCATCCATAAGTCATCCTATCTAAGAGGGATGGTAAATAGACTGTACTTATATAGCATCTTTCTAGTCTTTGGACCACTCAAAGCGCTGTACACTACATGCCACACTCCACCATCCACATACATTCATACACTGATGGCAGCGGCTACCATACAAGGTGCCAACTGCTCATCAGAAACAGAAACTAAGGGTATTCACACACATTTAAACACAGATAGACAGCATCAGACCCTTTGACCTAGTCATTGTAAAACCATACGCAACTGTTTAATTAAATTTAATGTAATTCTGAACTCAAAACGTAGACAATTATTCTTTTGCACTTTTGCACTTATACTGTACATTTGATCTTGTATATATATATATAGTTATATATATATATTTATATTTTTTGTGCTGAATGTTGTATATATATATGTTGTTTGTATAATATGTTGTTTGTATATCTGGAGTGTTGTAATGAAAATAATTTCCCCCTGGGATTATTAAAGTATTCTGATCTGTCCCTATTGTATTTGCTATGTTTCTTATTATTATTTTTAGCCCCCTTTGACTGCATTTTTGCCCCCCTGAACATATACGAAAACTAAATTTTATTTGGCAAAGTTGTCAGGCCTGGTGAAAATGGGGTAAGGGTTAATACAGTCAATACAGTCAAAAAATGGTGCTGACTAAAAGTTGTGCTATTTGTGCATGTACATTTAAGGGCGTGTCCGTGGCGTGGCATCAAAGTCAGCCATTTTGAATTCTGTGGTCATACAAACTGATTGAAAAGATGAGCTATTTGTGACTGTACATCAAACCGCGTGCCAGTGACAACTTGTCGAATTCAGCCGATTCGCCATAAAACAGCACTCATAACTTCAGCGTACGTGGTCCAATCTCAATGAAACTTCACGTGTTTGATAAGACTCTCGCCTTGAACATGTCTACATGACAACATTCAAACATAGTGATAGCGCCACCTACTGGCAACGGGAAGTAAGCGCTGCGTGGTGATTTTGAGCTAATTTACGTGAGATTTTCATGTTGTGGTCCGCACGTGTTACGGCGACACGCGACGCGGACGCAGCACTCCCCGAGTTGCGTGGAGTCCGAGGTCCCGTCCAGCGCTGCTTTCAGCTTTAATTAAGATTATTATTAATTAAGACAAACCATCAAATAAAACAGAGGTGTATTTATAGTCATTTACACAGTAATTTATGGGTCGTTCACATGCGATTAATTTGGGATTGGGATATATAAAGGTAAGGTGCACAGGACTTTTCAAGTTTTGTGAGTATGCCTTCTTTCAGTGGGGTCAGGGACTCTCAGCACATCAGTTCCTGTCTTCACTGTTATCAGCAGTGCTGCTGGTACAGACTGTGAACCAACAGTCCTCAGATTGTCAGTGTGACAGAAACACTGTGTGAGCTCTGGTTGTCTGTTCATACCTGAGAGTGTCCAGTCTCCAGTGTGGATCCTCCAGTCCAGCAGTCAGCTGCTTCACTCCTGAGTCTCCTGGATGATTGTAGCTCAGGTCCAGCTCTCTCAGATGGGAGGGGTTGGATCTCAAAGCTGAGGCCAGAGAAGTACAGCCTTCCTCTGTGATCATACAGCCTGACAGCCTGTTCACATACACACACACACACACACACAGACACACACACACACACACACACACACACACACAGCATAATGTTTAATTTATTTTCATCTATTCTCTAATCTATGTGTACATTTAAATGGTTATCTGTTAAAATGAACCTGAATCCTGACCTGAGTCTCTCCAGTCTACAGTGTGAACTCTTCAGTCCAGCAGAGAGCAGCATCACTCCTGAATCCTGCAGATCGTTGTTACTCAGGTCCAGCTCTCTCAGACTAGAGGACTTAGAGCTGAGAACTGAGGACAGAGCTTCACAGCTTCTCTCTGACAGATTACAGCCACTCAGTCTGAAGGAGAGTTAGAGATAAAGACAAACACTGTGACTGTTTCTCTTCTATACAATGTAAGAAACATTACAGTTTTAAAATTGCCATCTCTTGGTTGATTTGTCATTAAATGCTTAAATTAACATTTTGGACGAGAATAATCAGAAAGCATCAGTCATTAGTCTGTTCATACCTGAGAGTGCCCAGTCTCCAGTGTGGATCCTTCAGTCCAGCACTCAGCAGCTTCACTCCTGGTTCTCCTGGATGATTGTAGCTCAGGTCCAGCTCTCTCAGATGGGAGGGGTTGGATCTCAGAGCTGAGGCCAGATAAGTACAGCCTTCCTCTGAGATCATACAGCCTGACAGTCTGGAGATACACACACACACGGACACGGACACACACAAACAATGTTAAGTTTCTTTTCAACTTTTCTCTCCTTCTCAGTTTGAATTCACTTATCATAATTAGCTAAATCTTGAAATTCACTATTACTATTCAGTCAAATGACACTGGAAAATGTCATAAACCAACTAATTTGATTTAAATCAGCATTCATGTATTTTGTAAACAGACAGTGCAGCACATCGAGCTGTAAAACACAACACTGACATATTAACAACTTATAAAAGTTCACATTGCAAAAAGATTTGCAAACAGATGCTCCCTTCTGCTGCAACATGACGAAGCTAGTGCAACAGATAAAAGTAAATTGATGGATGTCTGTGGAAACATGAGATTTAAACATTGAATTTGCTCCAGGAAAAGAAACTTCCTTTCCAGACAAACAGTTGCACCTTTATGTCAAGCAACATTTAATATCTATCTGTTAAACAGAACCTTAATCCTGACCTGAGTCTTTCCAGTTTACAGTTTGAACTTTTCAGTCCAGTAGAGAGCGACTTCACTCCTGAATCCTGCAGATCGCTGTTACTCAGGTCCAGCTCTCTCAGACTAGAGGACTGGGTGCTGAGAACTGAGGACAGAGCTTCACAGCTTCTCTCTGACAGATTACAGCCACTCAGCCTGAAGGAGAGTTAGAGATGAAGACAAACACTCATACTGTTTCTGTTGTATACAATGTAAAAATAATGCCAATTTTAAAGTTACATTCTCTTGGTTAAACAATTGTTAAATGCTTAAATTAGCATCTTGGACGAGGTTAATCAAAAAGTGTTTGCTATTACTGTAAAAGATTATAGTTGCATTTTTCATTTAACAATCATTTCACGTATAACCAGATTGTAAGAAATGTTTCCATGGTTACATTTATCAGTTGAAATGAATGCAGATGTATGCACACTAAAGAAACATTTGGGTAGATCTTTCAGTGACACCATTAGCTGATTTCATCAGTTGATGACAACCCTGCACATGATACAAAAAATATTTTTAAAAATCAAGGAAAAATCCTACAGAGCTACATCTGCTGATGAAGACTAGGTTATAGAATCAAATGTGGTGTATTTATAGTCATTTATATAGTAATTTATGGGTCGTTCACACGCGGTTAATTTGACATTGATTGGGATGTATAAAGGTAAGGTGCAAAGGACTTTTCAAGTTTTGTGAGTATGCCTTCTTTCAGTGGGGACAGGGACTTTCAGCATACCATTTACTGCCCTCACTGTTATCAGGAGTGCTGCTGGTACAGACTGTGAACCAACAGTCCTCAGGTTGTCAGTGTAACAGAAACACTGTGTGAGCTCTGGTCGTCTGTTCATACCTGAGAATGTCCAGTCTCCAGAGTGGATCATCCAGTCCAGCAGTCAGCAGCTTCACTCCTGAGTCTCCTGGATGATTGTAGTTCAGGTCCAGCTCTCTCAGATGGGAGGGGTTGGATCTCAGAGCTGAGGCCAGAGATGTACAGCCTTCCTCTGAGATCATACAGCCTGACAGTCTGGAGAGACACACACACACACACACACACACACACACAAACAAAATAATGTTTATTCTATTTTATTCTTTTCCCTCCTTCTTTGCGTGAATTTATTGATCAAGTTAACTGTTAAAATTCATTGCTACCATACAGTCAAATGACACCAGAAAATGCCATGAACCAAGCAAGAAGCATTCATGTATTTTGAAATCACTAAGGGCCGCACAACACTGACATATTAACACCTTATAAAAGTTGTTATCACAAATGGATTTGCAAATAGTTGTCTACTTCTGCTCCAACCTGCCGAAGCGAGGGCAACAGCGAAAAGCAAATGCAGCAACAAAGTATCTGGAAACATCAGATTTAAATGTTGAATTTGCTCAAGGATAACACTTCCTTTCTGCGCAGACAGCTGCACCTTTATGTCAAGCAACATTTAAATGTCTATCTATTAAACAGAACCTGAATCCTGACCTGAGTCTCTCCAGTGTACAGTGTGGACTCTTCAGTCCAGCAGACAACAGCTTCACTCCTGAATCCTGCAGGTCGTTGTTACTCAGGTCCAGCTCTCTCAGACTAGAGGACTGGGAGCTGAGAACTGAGGACAGAGCTTCACAGCTTCTCTCTGACAGATTACAGCCACTCAGCCTGATGGAGAGTTAGTGATCAAGACAAACACTGTCACTGTTACTGTTATAAACAATGTAAAACAACACCATCATTTTAGAATTACTTTCTCTTGGTTAAATAATTGTTGAATGCTTAAATTAGTAACTTGAAAGAGGTTAATCAGAAAGTGTTTGCTATTGCTGTAAAATATTATAGTTGCATTTCTCAAATCAGAACAATTTTAAGTATATTTTGGTTATCTATAAAATAAACCAGATTGTAAGAAATGTTTGCATGGTTACATTTATCAGAGAAAATTAATGCAAATGAATGCATATTAAGGAAACAAATGGGTAGATATTTCAGTGACACTATCAGCTGATTCCAACAGTTGATGACAACCCTACACATGATACAAAAATATTTTCAAAAACAATGAATAAAACTCCATTGACTCATGAAGACCAAGTAATGTGACTGAAAGCTCCAGACCAGCCACTACACAGAGATTATTGTGTCAACAGCTGATTCCAAGGTCAAGAATAAACTTTGAACCTCTTAAGCTCGTGTGAGCTCTGGTTGTCTGTTCATACCTGAGAGTGTCCAGTCTCCATTGTGGATCCTCCAGTCCAGCAGTAAGCAGCTTCACTCCTGAGTCTCCTGGATGATTGTAGCTCAGGTCCAGCTCTCTCAGTTGGGAGGGGTTGGATCTCAGAGCTGAGGCCAGATAAGTACAGCCTTCATCTAAGATCATACAGCCTGACAGTCTGGAGACACACACACACACACACACACACACACACACACACACACACACACACACACATACAGACACAAACAGAATAATGTTTATTTTATTATTTTCTCTCCTCAGTTCGAATTCACTGATCAAAATTAGCTAATAATTAAATGGGGACTTGGCAACTCTAGCCATTTCTTCGCTGGTTTTCACTTTTGTCGTTGCATGTTTTCTCAACGAAATCCCCCTACAGCTCTGGGACGTATATTTCACAAAACTGTCATAAAAAAACTCAGTTGCGGCACCCTCCTCCCCCTTTCTACCACTGATGATGTGCATTTGTTGCCGGGCAACTTTTTCGTGTGGAACAATGTCTACCGAGGTGGGTAATACATTATGCACAGTATCATAGAACATTGCGTTTATGTGGAATTGCCGTAAAGCAGTTCGTGTTTCTTGCTCGTTCTCGCTTCTCAAGATACTTTCTATTTCCAACTTAACGGGACGGTAGTCCCAAAGTTGCAAGGTTGGTTTTCCGCCTGGGGACGCTAGGGGGAGCGGGGAAAGTCACCATTAACACCAGAATAGGCCATTTAACCATCCAAATGATTTCTAAATGGGTTTATTAAGTTGAAATAGTTGCCAAATTCCCCTTTAAATGTTCTCTTATGTTAACAGTTTCTTGAAATTCACTGTTACTATACAGTCAAATGGAACCAGAAAATGTCATAAAACAACTAATTTGATTTAAATCAGCATTTGTGTATTTTGCATTTGTAACAAGCTCTAAAACACAATGTGTTTTACAATATATTAACACCTTACATACTTACTACATAAAAGTTGCCTACTTATTCTACAGCCTACTGAAGCTAGTGAAACAGAGAAAAGCAAATGCAGCAAGTATTTGGAAACCTCAGATTTAAACAATGAATTTGCTCCAAGAAAGAACTTCCTTTCCTGGCAGACAGCTGTACCTCTATGTCAAGCAACATTTAATTGGCTATCTATTAAACAGAACCTGAATCCTGACCTGAGTCTCTCCAGTGTACAGTGTGAACTCTTCAGTCCAGCAGACAACAGCTTCACTCCTGAATCCTGCAGGTCATTGTTACTCAGGTCCAGCTCTCTCAGACTAGAGGACTTGGAGCTGAAAACTGAGGACAGAGCTTCACAGCTTCTCTCTGACAGATTACAGCCACTCAGCCTGAAGGAGAGTTAGAGATAAAGACACTGTCACTGTTACTGTTGTATACAATGTAAAATACATCACAGTTTTAAAATTGCCTCTCTTGGTTCATTAATTATAAAATGTTAAAATTAACATTTTGGACGAGATTAATCAATAAACATTAGTAATTAGGATTTCTCAAATCAAAACATATCAAATATATTCTCATCATGTATAATATATAACCAGATTGTAAGAAATGTTTAAATGGTTACATTTATCAGTTGAAATTAACCCAGATGAATGTAAGTCTACATGTGATACAGTTAGTATCTGCAGTTATCTTTGTACTTACAGAGCTTTGTTGGAGGCTTTGACCACTGGCAGCAGCCTCAGAAGAGCCTCCTCTGAAGCAGAGTATTTCTTCAGGTCAAACACATCCAGATCTGTTTCTGATGACAGTAAGATGAAGACCAGAGCTGACCACTGAGCAGGAGACAGTTCATCTGTGGAGAGACGTCCTGAACTCAGGGACTGTTGGATCTCCTCCACTAGAGAACGATCATTCAGTTCATTCAGACAGTGGAACAGATTGATGTTTCTCTCTGGAGACAGATTCTCACTGATTTTCTTCTTGATGTACTCAACTGTTTTCTGATTGGTCTCAGAGCTACTTCCTGTTTTTGTCACACGACCTACTAGGAGATTCTGATTGGTGTGCAGTGAAAGACCGAGGACGAAGCGGAGGAACAAGTCCAGGTGTCCATTTGGACTCTGTAAGGCCTTGTCCACAGCACTCTGGTAGAAGGTTAGTTCAGATATGTTTCTGAACCAATTCCACCTGGATGTGGTTTGTTCTTCTGCCAGCAGATTAACTCCAGAGCGGATGAATGTCAGATGGACATGAAGAGCAGCCAAAAACTCCTGAACACTCAGATGGATGAAGCAGAAGACCTTATCCTGGTACAGTCCACTCTCCTCTTTAAAGATCTGTGTGAACACCCCTGAGTACACTGAGGCTGCTCTGATATCGATGCCACACTCTGTCAGGTCTGATTCATAGAAGATCAGGTTACCTTTCTGCAGCTGCTCAAAAGCCAGTTTTCCCAGAGACTTAATCATCTTCCTGCTCTCTGGACTCCAGTGTTGATCCGTCTCAGCTACTCTATCATACTTGATGTTCTTCAGTTTGGACTGAACCACCAGGAAGTGGATGAACATCTCAGTCAGGGTCTTGGGCAGCCATCCTCTCTTTCTGGTCTTCAGCACATCCTCCAGAACTGTAGCAGTGATCCAGCAGAAGACTGGGATGTGGCACATGATGTGGAGGCTCCGAGATTTCTTGATGTAGGAGATGATTCCGCTGGCCTGCTCCTCATCTCTGAACCTCTTCCTGAAGTACTCTTCCTTCTGTGGGTCAGTGAACCCTCTGACCTCTGTCACTATGTCAATACACTCAGGAGGGATCTGATTGGCTGCTGCATGTCGTGTGGTTATCCAGAGGCGAGCAGAGGGAAGCAGTTTCCCCCTGATGAGGTTGGTCAGCAGCACATCCACTGAGGTGGACTCTGTAACATCAGTCAGGATCTCAGTGTTGTGGAAGTCCAGAGCAAGTCGACACTCATCCAGACCATCAAAGATGAACACAACCTGGAACTCCTCAAACCTGCAGATTCTTGCTTCTTTGGTTTCAGTAAAGAAGAGATGAACAAGTTCCACCAAGCTGTACTTTTTCTCTTTCAGCACATTCAGCTCTCTGAAAGTGAATGGAAATGTGAACTGTATGTCCTGGTTGGCTTTGTCTTCAGCCCAGTCCAGAGTGAACTTCTGTGTTAAGACTGTTTTCCCAATGCCAGCCACTCCCTTTGTCATCACTGTTCTGATTGGTCCATCTCTTCCAGGTGAGGGTTTAAAGAGGTCTTCTTGTCTGACTGTTGTTTCTGGTCTGTGTGGTTTCCTGGATGATGCTTCAATCTGTCTGACCTCATGTTCATTATTGACCTCTGCAGTCCCTCCCTCTGTGATGTAGAGCTCTGTGTAGATCTGGTTCAGAAGGGTTGGGTTTCCTGCTTTAGCAATCCCCTCAAACACACACTGGAACTTCTTCTTCAGGTTAGATTTGAGTTGACGTCGGCACACTGTAGCAGCCATTCCTGAATGAAAACACAACAATCTGTGAGTGGATGTTAGTGTTAATATGAGGAAAGTTGAGGGTGGAAAATCCTCTTACTACTTTGCAGACAGTCGGCCATATCCTCCTGCTTCATTCTCCTCAGAAAGTCCAGTGTGATCTTCAGAAATGACTCTTTGTTCCTTTTCTCTTCCTCCTCATCATCCAGAACCTCTTCATCCTCGCTATCTATGCATTTTTGGTAATCTGGACTCAGAACCCCCTGTAACCTTTTAAGCTCATTCTTCACAAAACTGACAATGTTCTCCTGAAGATGCTGGAAAAGAGTAAAATACAATTTGTGTGTAAAAGTTGTTGTTGGACATTTACGGTCCGTGTATGTTTTGGTCAGTGGATTTTTTTTTCAGAAACAGGTATTAAAAAACAGAAAAGGTTTGAGGTACTGTAAAAACATATTGCTCAGTGCTTCCTGGCTACTGATGGTATATTTGACTTTTACACATATGAGACTACAAACATACTTAATATGAAGCATTTTTACTGTACCAATTTGGAGAAATTCAACAATAAAAGTGCATATTTGTACCTCCATGTGGCATATTTTCATATATTTGAGCTACTGTAAAAACACTTTGCTCAATAATTCCTGGCTATGGATGGTATATTTGACTTCTACACATCTAAGACTACAAGTATACTTAATATCAAGCATTTTTACTTTACCAATTTGGAGAAATTGAAGAATAAAAGTCCCATATTTATACTTCCAGATTCCGTATTTTCTTATATTTTTGAGCTACTGTAAAAACATATTGCTCAATATTTCCTGGCTATGGGTGAAGCATTTTCATTATACTTCAATAATGCTGCAGTAATCATGACAAAATTTCACACAAATGTTTAATAACATCTTGATAATATAAACACTAAACACTAAACACAAAATCCTACACAATTCTAATTTGTTTACTTTTCACACAAAATGCAATGCCAGTCCACATTCTTCTTATTTTTGAATTATTGAGCAAAGTGTTTTTACAGTACCTCAAATATGGTCAAATATGCAATCTCTGGAGGCATAAATATGAGGCTTTTATTTTGGCATTTCTCCACACTGGTGCAGTAAAGATACTTGATATAAAGTGTTTTTTTATTCATCAGGGGCGCATGAAACACTTTAATGTAACATATTTTAATTATAGCTTATGGCTCTAAATACCTTTATTTTGAAAACCGGAAGTAAATACGGCGTTTCTCCGCATTTACCATAATGCTGAGAATACTTGTACACTCTAAATTTAAGTGCGGCTGATTTGACCACGGAGATCGGACTCACGGCTGGATTGACCGCAGTCTACTAGCCTACTGTTTCTTCTCCACAGCACCGTCCTGTAAATGACAACATCCGAACTCAGAATATGAAAAAACAGGCCTTTTTTCTGTTTCTGTTTTCTAGTGACTTTAATTTTTGTTATATGAAATAGAAAATGAAAATCGAATCATTTTTTAAATTTCGCTCATCCCTTTTTGACCATGAAAAAGAAAAACGCCTTGTATTTCAATTTTAATTTTTGTATTTTAAAACGAAAATTTTTAATACCCGTTTCTGAAAGGAAAATCCAATGACCAAAACATACACGGACCATTTACACACCATAAATATGGAGTCCAGGTCTTTTGGAAGCTTCTGGACCGACTGACCACCACAAATATCTGACCTTTGCTGCTGAACTCTGAGAAAACAAAAAGTATGATGATTTAACAAATGTACATTTTAGGACATATTTTTGGGGACATTTCAAGAATTAGGTGATACAATGACACCCTGTCACCTCCCACTGCTAGAAAGTAGCAGGGTCCTGTTTCTGGGCTAATTTTGTGGACAGACATACGTACTTATCCCTTTTAAATTCTTACCTTTCTTCGGCAGAGTGGAGTCCATCCCTAAAGTTGTAAGGTTCAATCATGGAGATGTCACTCTTAATGGACACACAGCTGGGATCAGGAGAGTCTGCTCTCTGCTGGTGAAGACTGATAGAAACAGACAAACAAATCAACAAACCCCTCAAACCTTCAACTGCATATCGATGGTTAATCATAAAAAAAAACTAATTTCATTTGAACATGGAACTTTTTCAGCTCTTCATTGGGGCTTACTTTGTCACCATGGCAACCACAGGATCACACAGTGTACAGTTCAGGGACAGTTTACTACACTAAATACTGTCACAGATGGCGGCGCGAGTAGATGCAGTGGCCCCTCGCAGCGGCCCCTCGCTTGCCCAAGAATGCAGTGTTTTGTTTGTTTAATAAGTGTTTGTCTGAAAGTCTGTTGTGTTCGTCTCGTCTGTCTACATGGGAATATAAGTACAGTCAACAGGCTCTGCTAGATATCTGCAAGAGCAAGTTTCACAACGTTTTGGACACTGACACTACTGGAGCTCAGATTACTTCGCCGGCCTGCGATCACACCAGACTTGACTGCCACTCCTCCCCCAAAACAGAGACGTCGAAAGCCATGTGCGAGGAAGCAGAAGAGGGGCAAACGCGGAGGTATCCGGGCTAGGCTAGCTGCTAGTCCATCTCGCCCAGTCATACCATCCATCATCCTGGCAAATGTACGATACAAAATGGATCACATACGACTGCTGAGGTCAGCGAATCGGACAGTGAGTAACTGCTGTGTGCTTGTTTTCACTGAGAAATGGCTAAATGACAACATCCCAGACTCTGCAGTACAACTGGAGCAGCTAACATGCTATCGAGCGGACAGAGCCCTCGTAAACGGAGGTAAGCAGTGTGGCGGCGGAGTGTGTGTTTACATCCGTGATGCGTGGTGCCGGGACGCTGTGGTAGTATGCAAACACTGTTCACCACTGGGGGAGTTTATGATCATAAGGTGCCATCCTTTCTATCTGCCGAGGGAGTTTACTGCGGTTTTGCTAGTCGCGGTATACATCCCTCCAACGTCCAACAGCAGTGACAGGAATGCGGCACTTTGTGAACTTCAATGAACAACAGACAGCACACCCAGATGTATTTACCAACCTCGCTGGAGATTTTAATCATGCTGATCTTAAGACTGTCCTCCCAAAACTCTACCAATTCAATTCAATTCAATTCAATTCAATTCAATTCAATTCAGTTCAATTTTATTTGTATAGCGCCAATTCATAACAGAAGTTATCTCAGGACACTTTTCAAATAGAGCAGGTCTAGACCGAACTCTTTAAAACATTATTTACAGAGACCCAACGGTACCACCATGAGCAAGCACTTGGCGACAAGGGCAAGGAAAAACTGCCTGTTAAAAGGCAGAAACCTAGGACAGATCCTCCGGCTCTAGGTGGGTGGTCGTCTGTCTCGACCAGTTGGGGTGAGAGAGAGAGAGAGAGAGAGAGAGAGAGAGAGAGAGAGAGAGGCAGAGAGAGAGAGAGCGAGAGACAGACAGACAGGTGCACAGCAACAACAGTCTTGGCAATGGCAATCCAGCAGGACCATGGCAGGAGGCTCCACCAGGATCGACAAGAACCTGCGAGACGAGAAAGCACAAGAACTCCGGGGAAGCCACCATGTCAATTTCCCAACAAGAGGGGAAAACACCTTGGATTTGGTCTACACCTCTCACAAAGGAGCATACAAGGCCTCCCCGCTCCCCCACATCGGACTCTCTGATCACATCACTGTTATGCTAATGCCAGCAGGCCCAGAGGGAAAGTTGCAAAACCGGGTCGGAAGGAGGTACGTGTGTGGCCAGAGGAGGCAATGTCTGCTCTTCAGGACTGCTTTGCAACAACAGACTGGGATGTGTTCAGGCAAGAAGCTACATACAACAACCACACAGACATTGAGGAGTTCACAGACACTGTTACCTCTTACATCCATAAGTGCACTGATGATGTGACCCACACAAAGTCCATCATCACTCGGGCTAACCAGAAGCCATGGCTGACAGGAGCTGTCCATCAGCCTTCAGAGCCGGGGATGAAAATGGCCTGAGAACAGCGAGCCAACCTGTCCCGTGGCATCAGGAAAGCAAAACAGGACTACACTAAAAAGATAACCTGCCACTTCAATGACAGCAGAGACACATGGAGCCTGTGGCAGGGCATTCAGACCATCACGGAGGTCAGGTAGACCAAGTCTTTTCTAGACTCAGCCAGCTCTCCCCCAGACAACACTCTGGAGACCAACCTAACCCGCCTGTTTCCGCCACCCCTACACCACCCATTCCCTAGCGTAGCCTAGAGAGCCTCATCTGCCACTTCCTGAGCCCTACTCTGGACATCTAGGTAAATGTAGTGCTTTCCTTCTCCAATGCTCACTAGTGTTTCAAAAGCAGCCATCTGCCTTTGGTAATGATAGTGCCAAAATAACCTTATTAGTGGGTCTTCTTAGAGGGAGTGCATTAGGCTGGCCTACCGCCATGTGGGATAATCAGCCAGCAATTAGTTCATCTTTTGACCGCTTTATTTTTAGATGAGGAAGGTTTTTGATCAGCCATTTCAGGGAAGGGATGCTGGTAGTCGTCTCTTTTTCCTCCTCCAGGTGTCCCGCAGTGTAGCTGAGTTTTCCATTGAATTCTGCACATTGGCTGTAGTTTCGGGGTGGAATGATGATGCACTTCAGAGTGTTTTTTTTTAAAAGGATCAGGTTAGAGATGAGTTGGCTGCCAGAGATGAGACCACTAGTCTAGATTCTCTCATTTCCTTAGCCATAAGATTAGATAATCACTTCCTTGAGAGGCGCACAGAGAGGGCAACCCGACCCTTATCTTAGTCATCATCTAGATTCTCCCTGTTAGTCACCTGTCTCCCCTGAAGAGGAGCCTATGCAACTGGGGCGAGCCTTTCTGTTCCCAGCCGAACGCCTCCGTCGGATAAGAACGGGTGAGTGCATATACTGTGGTCATTTCCTTGCCTCTTGCCCCCTTCGGCCAAAAGGAAGGGCTCATCAGTAGATGTGGGGATACTGGTGAGCCAAACTTTGTCTGTCCCCCAACATTGTATGCAGTTGCCTGCCACTCTTCTTTGTAATAATGAATCTTCGTCTCTGTCACCTTTTGTGGATTCTGGAGCAGATGAGAACTTTATGGGCCGGAATTTGCTCTCCAGGCAGGCATTGAGATGACTGCACTCGTCTCACCCCTAACAGCTAACGCTCTTGATGGAAGGCTTTTGGCTAAAGTAACCCACCAAACCGCTCCTGTGCTTCTGTATCTCTCTGGGAACCACCGTGAACAGATTCAGTTCTACGTCCTACCATCACCCAATGTACCGCTGATCCTTGGACACGCCTGGTAATCAAACACAACCCTCATCTGGACTGGACTACTGGTAAGGTGGTGAGTTGGAATACATTTTGCCATAACTCTTGTTTGTAATCTGCTCTCCCCCCACCAGATGCAGCTGCCATCCAACCAGTCTCTGAGCCACCAGATTTGTCCTGTGTCCCAGCTGAGTATCATGATTTGGGGGAGGTCTTCAGCAAGGAGAAAGCCCTATCCATGCCACCACATTGTCCCTATGGCTGCGCCATTGACCTCCTTCCAGGATCCACTCTACCTACTAGCCGGTTATACAACCTGTCTCGTCCTGAAAGGGAGGCAATGGAAAAGTACATAAACAACTCGGTTGATGCAGGGATCATTCGTCCCTCTTCTTCTTCTGTTGGTGCAGGGTTCTTCTTTGTCTCCAAGAAAGATAAACCCTTCGTCCATGTATTGATTACCAGGGCCTGAATAACATAACTGTAACTAAAAACAAGTACCCTCTGCCATTTATAAATTCAGCTTTTGAACCTTTTCACGGTGCCATTGTCTTCTCAAAGCTGGACCTGAGGAACGTATATCACTTGGTTAAGATTAGGGAGGGGGCTGATTGGAAGACTGCATTCAACACCCCACTGAGACATTTTGAATACTTGGTTAGCCTTTCAGCCTAACCAATGCCCCTGCAGTGTTTCAGGCATTGGTGAATGATGTTTTCAGAGACTTCCTTAACCATTTTGTGTTTGTCTTCCTAGATGACATTCTCATCCTCTCCCAGAATCTCCAGGAACACACTCTCCATGTCCGGCAAGTGCTGCAAAGGCTCCTGGAGAACTAGCTGTTTCTCAAGACAGAGAAGTCCAGAAAACTCCCACCAGCTCAATAAGTTTTTTGGGCTTCATTGTGGAGAGCGGGCAGGTGAGGACAGATCCCAAGAAAGTCAAGGCATTTGCAGAGTGGCCTAAACCAACTAACCTGAAACTACAACGGTTTCTTGGTTTTGCTAACTTTTACCGCTGTTTCATCCGACTACAGTCGGGTAGCTGTACCACTCACCCAGCTCACCTCATCTTCCTTCTCCTTCTCTTGGACCCCTGAAGCTGAGGCTGCATTCACAGATTCACCTCAGCCCCTATTTTGGTTCAGCCTGACCCCAATCGTCAGTTCATTTTGTAGGTGGATGCTTCCGACACTGGAGTCGGGGCGGTGTTGTCCCAGCGCTCTATTCCAGACCAAAAGCTGCATCCCTGTGCCTTTTTCTCTCGTCGTCTCTGGCAGAGCGACACTATGATGTTGGTAACAGGGAATTGTTGGCAGTTAAACTGGCCTTGGAGGAGTGGAGACACTAGCTAGAGGGAGCAGAACACCCTTTCATCGTTGGGACCGACCATAAGAATTTGGCCTACAAACAAACTGCTAGGTGGCTGAACTCTCGCCAGGCCAGCTGGGCCCTGTTTTTTGGTCGGTTCAACTTTACTCTAACCTACCGTCCTGGTTCTAAGAATACTGATGCTCTCTCCCGACAGTTTCCCACAGGAGAGGTTCCCTCTAGGCCAGACTCCATTCTTCCATCCTCCTGTGTGATTGCTGCAGTGACTTGGGAGGTGGAGTCCTTGGTGAGGGAGGCCGAGCAGGTACAAACAGACCCAGGTAACGGTCCACCTAATAGACTTTCTGTTCCCGACTCTGTCCGTTCTCAGGTGCTTCAGTGGGGGCCCACTTCCAGGTTTGCCTGCCATCCTGGCATAATCCGTACTCTGGCCCTCCTTAAGCAACATTTCTGGTGGCCTACCATGGAAACCTGTACTGTGTGTGTGGAAAAGCCTCCCATCAGGCTCCAGCTGGTTTGCTCAGTCCATTGCCCATACAGGATGTCCCTGGACCAATATAGCTCTGGACTTTGTCACAGGCCTGCCTCCCTCACAAAGTAACACAGTCATTTTAACTATTGTGGATCAATTCTCCAAAGCTGTCCATTTTGTGGCTCTCTCATCTGTTCCACCTACATGGAATCCTTTGGGAGTCTTTCTTCTTTCATCCCCAGACCAATGGACAAACGGAACAAGAGCACACAACTCGCCTGGGTGGAATATTCCCATTCCCCATTTCAGTGTTCATTGGGCTATAAGCCCCCTCTGATCTCTGTTCAGGAGGAGATTGCAGTTCCTTCTGTCCAGGCTCATATTCGTCGCTGTCAGAAGATTTGGAGAGATGCAGAGACCGTAAACATGAAATTGCTAATCGTCGCTGGAATCCCGCTCCTGCCTACAAACCAGGTCAAAAGGTTTGGCTTTCCTCTTGAGACATCCCCTTAATCTCCCTGGTTTCCCTGTGTCTCTCTTTCTCTCTCTGAGTGTCTGGACTCCTCCCACTCTCCCTGATTACCTGCTCACCTGTCTGACTGCTCAAACCTAGGGTCTCCGCCATATCCACTCACCACTGCCAGCAGGAGCTTCACATCACCATTTCATCCGCTGGATCTCAATAAAGCCTGTCTTTGGAAATTGTAACCAACTGAGTTTGTGTTCTGCTTGTGGGTTACTCTGTTTAACATAACATACACTATTATTTCATCAGATTTTAATAGAGGTTGTGATGATGGTAAATAGAAAATGTACTTGCCTATTATTTGAAACAAATATTCTTCACACTGTGACTTAGTTTGGAATTTCCCCATTGTGGGACAAATAAAGGAATATCTATCTTTCCTGTCCCCAGTGGTATCTTGTAGGGGATAATGCAAGACTATTAGATACTGAAGCCATTACAATGAGTCATTCTGTCCATGTATTACCACATTGAGGTCAGTATCTCCATTCTTGGAGATCAGATACTTTATTAGTGGATGTTGGCCTCTGCCAATTTTGTTCTTGTCCTGATTCTGGAAAATGAAACTATTGAATTTCTTTTGTAAACAAACTACAGGCACAGCCTAGGTGTACAAAGTCTCTAGTATGGTCACCTCAGGACTGTGAGATTAACAGGCAGATTGGAGCCACTTCAGAAGCTATAGCAGACTGTTCATGTTCTGGTTGGTCTACGTTCAACCTATTTAGACAGTGTGCAGAGCTCAGACATCCAAAAAGACCTTGTAATAGAACCATGGCTGTTTGGAACGAAAGGAGTCAGTTGAAGTGGTTTAGGCACTGTTCTGTGACTGGGATCCAGATAAACTATAGGACATGGACGGAATGGACCATCTCATAGTATCTGATAGTGAATTAGAGCTGTCACTTTCTTGTCTTAAATATCTAATATTTCATCTGTGATAAAACTACCAAGCTGTTGAACATATCATGACACCTAATAAGCATTTTGAACCATAGATGGAAGAATTGGAGATAGAAATAGCTGACTTTGTAAAATACTTACAGTAACATTACCATGACAACAACTCTGGATTATGAAAGCTGAGACCAACTGGTAGAACATTTTGTGTCATGATTTGATAGTTCATTTCAGAGAGCTGCAGAATAACAAAGTAATCTTGTTCAAATTCTTACCTTTGTTTAGAGTGGAGTCCATCTCTTAAGTTATAAAGTTCAATCATGGAGTTGTCACTCTTAATGGACACACAGCTGGGTTCAGGAGAGCCTGCTCTCTGCTGGTGAACACTGATAGAAACAGACAGACAAACCAACAAACCTCTCAAAACTCCAACTGCATATTAATGGTTTAAAAAAACTAAATTTATTTGAACATTGAACTCTTTCAACTCTTCATTGTGGCTTAGTTTTTTACCATGGCAACCACAGGACCACTCAGCGTGCAGTTCAGGGACAGTTTACCACACAAATTACTGTACATAAGAATGCTGATTATAGTTGTATTTTATTTGTTATGTCTCTGTAAATAACGGAGAACGGTCTACACCAGCTCCATTTGAAAAGTCTCCACAGACGCAAACTTCTGTTTGATTTGGTGCTATACAAGTAAAATTGATAAATTGATTTGAATTGAATTGTGCTCCATTTTTTTCATTCTGATAGGATTCCTGTTGATGCTGTTACACTCTTATTTCATCACTCAGAACATTAAGTGAGTTTGTGATGATGGTAAATAGAAAGTATACTTGTCTTTTATTCGAAAAAACACTGTGAATTAGTTCCTGTATCATAAATGCAACATTTTAGTCACAAAGACCAGATTGATGTTGGAAACCCAAAGAAAGCCAGACTGAGTTGAACACTGCTTCAAGAACCCGGCCCCAGAACAATTTGCAGCTGCAAAATAAAACTTATCCTCTCTCTTATTATTCAGTGTGTTTTAATATTTTATCTGTTGTTTAAACTGTCTGCTCTTCTGTTGTCTGTACTGTAAAGCACACTGAGCTTTAGAGAGTTGAATTATCAGGTTTGGGACAATTAACAAAGGTCATTATATTAGTTAGATAAACTAGTTATATTAATCTTGTCATGTTATTGGTTCAGTTTTGAGCTACGACCCTTTTTGAAATCAGACATGATGAGATAAAAGGAGGTGGAGAACATTACAGGAGTATTCTCTGAAATGATAAACGACAGTTAAACATTGTGTGAATGTTACAAATGAAACGTTGTCATGGACAGTTCGAGGTCCTCATCTCACCTCTGAGCTTTGGTCCTTGTGTCATGTTCCTCACACAGAGTGCTTTTAGAGGGAGGGACTCCCTCCTCGGTCTCCTCACACTGATTCATAGCAGAGCCCACACCTTCACACAGACACAACAACATGCTGTCAGAGCTCAAACATTATTAACATCCTTCCTGTCAGTCACATGACAGACATACAGAGCTCTGACTGGAGGAAACTACATTCACAAAAACAGTCAGAGAATCACAGAGCAGCTGGTGTAGTTCTGCTATCAGTCCACTAGATGTCCTCAGTAATCTCCAGTGAACTACAGAGCAGCTCAGTACACAGATACACACATTATATAAGCACATTTTATACACACTTCATATACATTACTGAACATAACATATATACATACCCCATATTTTTTCTTATAATACACTTTATATAGACACATTGTATATTAAATATATTGCCTATATTTTATCTAAATTATATTTACACTGTGCAACTACACTCCTTCTGTTCTGCTGGAACAAGTGAATCTCCGCAGTGTGGGATCAATAAAGTCGATCTTATCTCTTATATAAATGTCTGGAGGAGGAGAATCTTATCTCACTGAGAGTGGTTCTTAGAGAGGAGTAGGCTGACCCTGTTAGGATGACTTGTTCTTCTAATAAAAACACTTGTTACCTTGACAGTGATTGGTTGACAGGTGACCGGTCTGCATCAGTGAATTTGAAGTGAAACCAGTACGATCAACAGATAGAATTCATTATGGACATGTTAGATGTAGAAACTAGAACAGATTTCAGACACTAAACTAATTTAATATTGACTAAATAAATCGGTTTAATTCAACAAATTTCCAACAACTGGGGTCTGAAGTTTTTTTTTTTTTTTTTTTTTTTTTTTTGTTTTTTTTTTTTTTTTTTTTTTTTTTTTTTTTTTTTTTTTTTTTTTTTTTTTTTTTTTTTTTTTTTTTTTTTTTTTTTTTTTTTTTTTTTTTTTTTTTTTTTTTTTTTTTTTTTTTTTTTATTTTTTTATTTATTTTTTTTTTTTTTTTTTTTTTTTTTTTTTTTTTTTTTTTTTTTTTTTTTTTTTTTTTTTTTTTTTTTTTTTTTTTTTTTTTTTTTTTTTTTTTTTTTTTTTTTTGGTTTTTTTTTTTTTTTTCCTCTTCCTCTTTCTTTTTTTTTTTTTTTTTTTTTTTTTTTTTTTTTTTTTTTTTTTTTTTTTTTTTTAATTTTTTTTTTTTTTTTTTTTTTTTTTTGGGGGGGGGGGGGGGTGAGGGGTTGGGAGGTAGGGCACCGGCACCGTTATTTTTTTTTTTTTTTTATCGTTAGCCGGCCCCGGGCCCGGGGGCGGGGGGGGGGGGGGTTTTTTTTTTTTTTTTTTTTTTCCCGGTTGTCCCCTGTTGTTCCCCCCCCGTTCTCCCGCTCGTTGTTGGCGCGCCGGGGGGGGGGGGGGGGGGGGGGGGGGGGGGGGGGGGAGGAGAAGAACGAGGACACCCCCACCCCCCCCCCCCCCCCTCCTTTTTTTTTTTTTTTTTTTTTTTTCCTCTTTAACACCCCCCCGGGGAAAAACCCCTTTTTTTGTTGGCCCCTATTTTAAAAAAAAAAAAAAGAAGAAACGGCGGCCGGTTAATTAAATATCCCTCGGGGGGGGGGGGGGGGGGTTTTTATTAAAATAAAAAATTTTTGTTAAAAAAAAAATTTAAAAAAAAAAAATTTTTTTTCCCCCTCGGCGGTAACGACACCCGTTTACGCCAATCGGAGGTCACTAAGATTAATGTGGAGTCGGGTGAACTATGCTAAGACAATTCGGACACCGTAGTTTTCTGACCCCTCCCCAATGTGACCAGTGATGACATGTATAATTCAATGCCGCATGTCGTCATCCACCGCTGGCTGTGAGGTGGTGTCCAGCAAACGATGTGGGCTTCATTGATAACTGGAAGCCTTTTGGGGAAAACCTGGTCTGATTAGGAGAGACGGCATCCATCCCACTTTGGATGGAGCGGCTCTCTTATCTAGAAATATGGCGAAGTTTATTTCTAAAACCTGACAGTCCAGAGTTAGGACCAGGAAGCAGAGCTGCTGTCTTACACACTCCTCGCGCTTTCTTTAGAACAGTCACCCACCCAAAACCCCATAGAGACTGTGTCTGTCCCCCGACCACCTAAACTATTTAAAGAAATAAAAACAAGAGGAGTTCAACATAAAAATCTAATAAAAATTAAAACTAACTCCTCAGTAGCACAAAATAAGAGAATGAAATGTGGGCTGTTAAATATCAGGTCTCTGTCCTCTAAAGCTGTTCTAGTGAATGAATTAATATCAGATTATGATATTGATTTACTTTGTCTTACTGAGACCTGGTTGTCCCACGAGGAGTATGTTAGCCTAAATGAATCCACCCCCAGTCATATTAATACTCACATTCCTGAGGCACAGGCCGAGGAGGTGGAGTAGCAGCTATATATGATTCGAGCGTTTTAATGGACCCTAAACCTAAACTAAATTATAATTCATTTGAAAGCCTTGTTCTTAGTCTTTCTCACCCAAACTGGAAAACACTGCAGCCAGTTCTATTTGTTATAGTGTACCGTGCTCCTGGACCGTACTCTGATTTTATATCTGAATTTTCAGAGTTTCTATCAAGTTTAGTCCTTAAATCAGATAAAGTAATTATTGTAGGTGATTTTAATATTCATGTGGATGTTGACAATGACAGCCTTAGTAATGCATTTATATCATTAATAGACTCAATTGGCTTCTGTCAGAGTGTAAATAAACCAACTCATTGTTTTAATCACACTCTTGACCTTGTTTATCATATGGCATTGATATTGAACATTTAATAGTCTTACATAATCCTTTCCTATCTGACCATTATTTAATAACTTTGAATTCATACTATTAGATTATAAGCCATTAGGCAAAACTTCCTACAGCAGATGTTTATTGACAGTGCTGTAGCTAAATTTAAGGAGGAGATTCCTTCAGTGTTTAATTCAATGCCATGTCTGAATTTAACAGAGTCCTATAACAACTTTAGTCCCTCTGAAATTGATAATCTTGTCGATAGTGCTACAGGCTCACTCGATCAACATTAGACTCTATCGCTCCTATAAAAGGAAATTATTAAAACATAGGAGACTAGCACCTTGGTATAACCACCAAACCCGCCAGTTAAAGCAAATAGCTAGAAATCTGAAAGGAAATGGCGCTCTTCAAATTATCAGAATATCGCTCAAATTGGCAAGATGATCTTAAGATTTATAGAAAGGCCCTCCGTAATGCCAGAGGAGCCTATTACTCAGCACTAATAGAAGAAAATAAGAACAACCTAGGTTCCCTTCAGCACTGTAGCCAGGCTGACAGAGAGTCACAGCTCTATCGAGCCACATATCCCCATAAACTTAAGTAGCAATGACTTCATGAGCTTCTCTATAATAAAATTATTACTATTAGAAAAATTAATCACCAACTGCCATCAACAGTTATCAGTGGCTCTCAAGTTCAGGGACTTCTGTCAATGTAAACTTAGATGTATATTTAGACTGTTTTCTGCTATCGATCTTCATCAGTTAACTTCAATCATTTCTTCATGAAGCCATCAACCTGTCTGTTAGACCCGATCCCAACTAGGCTGCTTAAAGAAGTTGTTCCCTTAATTGGCACTTCTTTACTGGATATGATTAATCTTTCTTTATTATCAGGATATGTACCACAGTCCTTTAAAGTAGCTGTAATTAAACCCCTTCTTAAAAGTCTACTCTGACCCAGGGGTTTTAGCCAACTATAGACCGATTTCTAACCTCCCGTTCCTCTCTAAGATTCTGGAGAAAGTAGTCGCCAAAGAGTTGTGTGACTTTCTACATAACAATAGTTTATTTGAGGATTTTCAGTCAGGATTTAGAGTTCATCATAGCACAGAGACAGCTCTGGTTAAAGTTAATAATGACCTTCTGACTGCTTCTGACAATGGACTTGTCTCTGTACTTGTATTATTAGATCTTAGTGCTGCATTTGACACCATTGACCATGATATTCTTTTA